TAAAGCCCTTCGTAAGTTGTGGTCTGGATTTGTGAGTACAATGTTTTGTGATGGGCTACCAAGAATCCCTTCAATGTGTCTATTGAAGTATTTTCTCATTAATATGAGGGATCCAACTAGAACTGGAGACGTTGATATCCTCATGTGTCATATTTTGGAGATTTCGATATCTATTTCTTCTTCTTCCTCTCCTTCGTCTTCTTTTTCTTCTTCTTCTTCTTCATCTTCTTCTTCTTCTTCTTCTTCTTATTATTATTATTATTATTATTATTATTATTATCATCCATCTTTTTCTTATTTTTTTAAATCTTCCTTCTAGTCTACCTTATTTTTTACTTAAACTTCGACGTCCATGTTTTTAGATGTTCTACTCCACCTCCTCCTCCTCCCCCTCCTCCTCCTCCTCCTCCCCTTCTTCTTCTTCTTATTATTATTATTATTATTATAATAATTATTATTATTAGTAGTAGTAGTAGTATTACTTTCATTAATTTATGTTTTTTTCCTCCTTCTTCCTGGGTCCAACCATAGACCTATGGTTAGAAATGGCATCATACCATTTTCCACTGAGCATTTTTATAATATATATATATATATATATATATGTTACGGTTTTTTGGGTATATAACACGTATAACTAGTGAGCGAGTCAGAATGACTTATTTCCCTTTATAGTCGACCAATAGAAGGTTGACCAATCAGAAGCCGTCCAAAAACTGTATTCATAGTGTATAAAGGCGGCCATCTTGTTTCCTCCTACCAGAAGGACAAAAAAATGACCAGAAGAAGGATGAACTACATTTGCTGTGATATCCACTTTAGAACCTTCACTATGCTTTCCTACTGTCTCCGAAATATTCACTGCCAACCTCTGGATGCGATACTCGAGGATCGACCGTCATGAAAATGTTCAACAATATATATATATATATATATATATATATATATATATAAAAATATTTTTGTAGGTACAAAATTTAATGATCGAAATAAAAAAGTATAAAATTTAATATTACAAGACATATTAAAAAATAAAAATAAATAAACAATTAGTATTTAGCAACATTTTTTTCGATCCCGCTCTTCAGGCTTCAACGGGAGATTCAAGATTAATACAGGATTGTGCACAATAGAGGAATTGGGAGGGGAAAAAAATTACGTATAATTAGTTATAATTATATTATTTATAATTATTCCTCAGAGAATTAACAACACGCTGATGTTCTGAAGTTCGGATTATTTTTCAAACTCGGCCTATGTTTCGAGCTGCGTGTAAAGACTTTCTCCCTCCCCAACAAATTAATTCAAATATTTACAAATACGTTTTGTAGTTGCGGAGCCGACTACATAGGGAGAACAACTCAGCGCTTAGACATGAGAATAAATTTATATTTCCTACTAAAATTAGAAACCACACCTGCCTTTTGAATGGACTTCGTCCTGAACACCTATAGTTCCGCCATATGCGAACATCTTTTAAATAGCAGAGATTGTGCAGCCAAATTTAGTGTTGACTGGTTAATTCACCGTGTTGGCCGGGTCTCACTTTTTATTTCATCTGAAGGTTCTGGAGGCATTTATCGGGTCCTGCAAGCCTTCTTTTGCAAACAACGTGAGTGCTTGTTGGGACTCGCTGTCATCTGTCTCTAGTTCCTTCTGCATATATACTGTGTATATATATAAATATATATATATATATATACGTACTTTTTTCCCCTCCCAATTCCTCTATTGTATATTTTCCTGTATTAATCTTGAATCTCCTGTTGAAGCCTGAAGAGCGGGAGCGAAACGGTTGCTTCCCCCTTGTTTTTTTTAATTGTTGAAATATGTCTTGTAATATTAAATGTTATACTTTTATTTCGATATATATATATATATATATATATATATATATATATATATATATATATGTAGGTGTATATAGGTATATGTATGTGTATGTATGGATGTATACGTATATGTATGCGTATATATGTATATTTATGTATGCGTATATGGATGTATGTACATGTAGATAGATATATATGTAGATGTGTTAATATGTGTGTATGTGTTTTGGTATGTATGTAATCATATATATCTGTATATGGGTGTATATGTATGTATATATGTATGTATGTATAGTTAGACGGATAGATATAGGGATACATTGTTTATTTGTTCAGATGTGTGTATGTAATTGTATGGAGATGTTAAGTTTTATGTATATATGTTTACAAGCACGTATGTCCGTATGTATATATGTGTGTAAATGTGTATATATATATGTAGGAGTGGATGTGTATGGATGTATGTGTATATGTATGTATGGGTGTGTATTTATGTATTATATGTATACATGTAGGTGTTTGTATGTGTATGTATATATATATATATGTATGCGAGAATATGTATATATGTATATATATATATATTTATATATATATATATATATATATATGTGTGTGTGTGTGTGTATGTGGATATATGTGTATGTGTGTACATGGCTATATATATATATGTGTATATGTGGGTACACGCCTATATCTATGTATGTACGTGTTTATGTTATTGTGTATGTGTGTATACGCATGTGTTTTTGAACATAAAAATATAGGTCCTTGCTAGATTAGATAATTGTTATATTTATTTTTTATATGTTTTTATTTGATTTGTAACCTGTAGTCGATATTAATTTTGTCAAATTTTCTTAATTACACAGCGGCCCTTTCAGTAAATGTCCTTTAGTTCTAGTATTATTAATATTATTATTATTCATCTCCTTTTTTCTCACTATTAATATAATTATCGCCCTTCTTCTTCGACCTCTTCTTGTCTACCTTCGTTTTCTCCTTCTGTATATCCTTTTCCTTCTCACTATTATTATTATTATTATTACTTCAATTATTAGTCATCTCCTTTTTTTCTTACTATTATTGTTATTATTATTATTATTATTATTATTTTCCGTCTTCTTCTTGGCTACTGTCGTCTTCTCCTTCTACATCTTTTTCTATTATATTATTCTATTTATATTATTCTTATATGCTGTTGTTGTTATTACTGCATTTCTTACTGTTGTAATGGCAGCACTTACGTTCCTAGATTTGTTGTTTTTATTTTCAGCCATTTTCCTCCCCTTGATTCCTTTTGTGTGTTCTCCTTTTGTTTTCATTCTTTTGTTATCTCTGTGTATGAAAGAATGCAATAGGGAGACCTCATTACTACGCATCATTCACATGTGTCGTGTCCCTTCAGGACTTCTGAATGTTCAGAAAGACTGATCATCCTGTTGGTCAAAAAAGATCATCATCAGCAGACGTCATAATCGCTGCGATACTTGTTCACAGCCAACTAATTTGGGAGCAGATGATCATATGAACAAATCATGAGAATAGGGAGCCACATCAACTCGTTCAAAGACGCACAGCAGCCATTGAAACCAAAGACTAGTGTGCTAGAATATTGTCCCGATGGAACAAGACATCTTCGTCAGTTTATTTTTATATCTTGATAGTTTTTCGTAACTGCTTCAGCAAGTTGACATAGTACTCTCTATTGAGGGCATAGCTCTTTTGAAGATTGTCAACAAAGACGATGACTTTCGCTTCCCAAATATGACTGAAGCCATCACCTTCCTTGCAAATGAAACGTTCTTTATTGGAGTAGGTGAGTAGGTCTTGATTTTTTTTCTATTGTATAGTTTCACGTTTTGTTTCTGTCTCAAAACGATGAACCCAACACTCATCCTGATTTAGGAAACAGCCAGGAAAACCAGTTGGATCTGCCCCAAACAAAGCCAAATTTCTTTTTCTCTAATATGTTCATCCTGCTGCTATTTTGATCAGGTGTCAGACATGGCACGCATCGAGCAGATACCTTATTCTTATACGGAATATTCTCAACTCTCTCACGGGATAGGCTAATAGCGGTAGCCATTTCATTTATAGCCAATCGCCTGTCATCTATCACTATGGGGTGAACGAGATCAAGGCTTATCTCGGTAGTGTCAGGTGCAAGACGTCCAGATCCTGTATCATATTCCAGACTCTTACATCCCCTCCTAAATACAGCTGCCAACTTTTTCACTAATGATAATCCTTTAATATAGCAACCGCTCCAGTAAGTACCTGTCTCCTCATGCTATCGTTTAATTTTACAAGAGCCGGATCAGGCCTAAAAGAGAGTCTTGCTGTCACATTTTGGCGGGAGCTGCCCAGTCCTTACATTCCTGTCTCGATAGAGTCGAAAAGAGTCTTACTCGTCCTTGTGGGTGACGGTATGTTGTAAGCCTCTCAGAGACGGGATGTTGCAAGCTTCTCAGAGACGGGATGTTGCAAGCCTCTCAGAGACGGGATTTGGGAAGCCTCTCAGTGACGTAATGCTGCAAGCCTCTCAGTGACGAAAGTTGCAAGCCTGTCAATGATGGTATGTTGCAAACCTCTCAGAGACAGGATGTTCCCAGACACGGGATTTGGCAAGCCTCTCAGAGACGGGATTTGGGAAGCCTCTCAGTGACGTGATGCTGCAAGCCTCTCAGTAACGGATGTTGTAAACCTCTCAATGACGGTATGTTACAAGCCTTTCAGTGACGGGATGTTCCAGGCTCTCAGACCCGGGATTTGGCAAGCCTCTCAGAGACGGGATTTGGCAAGCCTCTCACTGTTCTACCGCTACTTACAAAGAAAGTAATCTAACTGCATTGCTTCATTCCGCCAATTCCAGTTTTCACAGCTAGGACAGCCATGATACTAACCTAGTAGAGAACCACGCTAATTCCCACCGTATTGCATCGTTGAGAAGTAAGTTCCATTCGAACAGCTTCTTTCCGCGAATGCTGCTCTGTGGAACCGTCTCCCAAGTGGATGTTTTCCCGATCACGGCAATGTTAACCAGTCCAAGTCCAGGGATAACCGTTATCTTTCTCTCCTACCGTATGAAATCTTTTTTAATATAACCCCCTACTTCGAGTGGCACATGTACCTTACCTTAATGTAAAAAATGGATAATGAACAGACTGAGATAGATAGATAGATAGATAGATAGATAGATAGATAGATAGATAGGAAGGAACAGACTGAAATAGATATGAACATACTGGGATAGATAGATAGATAGATAGATAAAGACATGGCAATTTTCTATCTGACTAGATATTGAAAAATCCTACTATCCTCGGGAGATACAATTTTTTTATTAGAACTTTTCAGTCACGATGCAGATATACATTAATTCCTATGCTTCTAAAATATATGTCTACTCAAACATGTGTAACCACTAAATATAACGTTTAGTATGATACTATATATATATATATATATATATATATATATATATATATATATATATATATATATATATATATGTGTGTGTGTGTGTGTATGTATGTATATATTAACCTTCACGACAGCAATACGCCATGCCACTTACAAAGTAGTAAATTACCCACAATCCCTCTCTATTCCGTCGCTGATAAGTAAGTTCCACTGGAACAGCTTCTTTCCGCGAAGCACTGGTCTATGGAACTGTCTCCCAAATCGTTGTTTCCCCGATGACTACAGTCTTAACCAATTTAAGGATTAACTATTATCTTCTCTAATTTTAGGTGTAACTCTTATCTTCTTTACTTACCCGCATAAACAGGGTCTCCTGCTTGTAAGCCTCGAGCTCAAGTGCCCCCCCGCCTCGGACCTTGCACAGGTTGAAATTAACTTGAAAAATATGATTGGAAAGGAAACTCCTATCAATGATAAAATAGTGTTTATAAATATCAGTCTAAATTAACGCCAACTCTTTGGTCAAAGAATTCCTTATGTTTCTTGTATGGAAACGGTTCTTCTTACCATTATTCGCATCATACACGGATAAGTATGAAGTCGAATCACATGTGACTGTATTCAAACTCACAGCAGTTAACTTACTTTGGATATATAATAACGCGTCTCATATTCAGCTTAGATTATCCCTTCTCTTTTCAAGGCTGTTCGTCAAATGCCCACAATTACATAATCCCTTAATCTCTTTATCTGATTAATGAATCTTGATTCCAATTCAGATTAATTCAAACTACGACAAAGATAATCAAGCTTTCTGTAACGGTGACATTTTCTCCAATCTCAGAATGAACCTTTTCTTGTTATTTTCTTCTAAGAGTTTTTATTGCTTTTTTGGATTGTATTTTTGTTATGTTTTTTTTTAATACCATTTCCATTTAGAATGTAGGTGATAATAACGCTCCATAGCTTTGCTTTACAATCTGTTGGTTGGTTGGTTGATTTTGTTTAGCGGCATGCCAACATCTATGGGTCATTTAATATCGAAATTTAAATAATTTGAACACAATTTTATAGCTTTAACTAAATATATTTCGGACGCAGTTGTATACGTTCAACTACAGATGAAATTTATTGCTCCACATATATTTTTGGTCTTTTTTATATAAAAATGTATTGATGGTCATATATTCTGTTTTTTTTTTATATATATAAAAAATGTATTGATGTGTGGCACCATGCATCCAGGCAGAGAAAGAAAGGCAGAAAGGGAAAGGAAAGAAAAGAAGAAAGGAAGGGAAAAAGTAATGCGAGACGGATCATAGGTGATAAAACAGCCACACACATGGCCTAAGAGACAATGAAAATATTGATAAGTAACAAGTGAAAAAATGTGTCATTACAATGACAGGGAATTTCTGAGTAAAAAAAAAAGAAAAGGAAAAGAAAGAAGGAACCAGATGTGTTTTGATAACGGCTATGTTATCTAGGTACGTAAACGAATGGCTAGACCACTGCCCAGGAAAAATTCAAGTGAAAATGCTATTTCGATAAGTAACGAGAAACAGGCCACTAAAAAGGACTTTGGACAGATATGAAAATTAAAGGCCACCTACGAGTAATCGTTGACCGATTTTCCTACTTGGCGAATGGAATTGTGTTATCAAGAAATGTTCCCCAAAGAAAGTCCACTTGAAAACGTTAATTTTGATAATTGACAAAACACAGGTGTAGCTACAGAGCCTTAGTTAGATATGGAAAATTAAAATCCCACAAGCAGTCTCTCTGGCTAACTAAATTTTTTTCAACAAAACAACGTTGCCCTGCGATAATAAAATTTTGTTATCAGACATATGAACCGAAGGAAAATGAATAGAACCAGAAATGTTTTTTTCTTCCTTGGAGACGTCAGACTGACTGAAAAACTTGGGAAAATTCTTTTTGAGGCCATGTCGGAAAACCAACCATCTGAGGAATTAGCGATAAACTACTTGACAAACGCCACGTGTTGAACAAAAGAGTTGTCATATTATCCGTTCATGATAACGGCGATTTAACGAAAAAGAAGAAAAAGGAAGAGAAGAGATAATTAATTTTTTTTTAGTTAAGCAAGGTATTTTTTTTCCGAAACAAAGCCGCGGATTGTTCACGCCCGAATAAGACGTCATTGGTCAAGTGGTGATCACGTGACGCACGAAGGAGGAGGAAAGATACCCGACCAAGACCTCATTGGCCGAGAGTGATCACGTGACGCACAAAGAAGGCTGTCGACGCCCCATCCAGAGTATAAGTATGAGAAGCTGCTACGAAGAAGTGGGGAGGGCAGTTCACGCCCCTCAGAAGTATGGTGAGAAAGTGGGGAGTGAAAAAAAAATTACCAAAAATGAAAAAGAGTGGAAAATCCCTAACCAGAAATAAAAGAGGTGGATATGTATTTAAAATTATCGAGGAACCCCCCGACGCCAACAGACCCAACCTGGTTTTGTCGGCGTCAATAAAAAGTTTTCAGGCCCCAACAGGCAGAAATCAGTTCGGGCCCTGGCGGCAGAGATGATAGATCAAGATAGCTGACCAAGATTCACGCAAAATTTCGGAACTCCTTTCAACCAAGAACAATTATTTTGAAGAGCGACTTAGAACCAGACCACCGAAATAAGTTTTTTTTTTTTTTTTTTTCGTCCAAAGACACACCGAAACACAAATTTCTTAGAGAGCAAACAACTTGAAGCGTTAAAACTTGCCTAACGAAAACGACGTGTCACAATCCACAGAACGGGTCGGGAGATAGATGCAGTCCTATGTATCGAACAACTAGACATAAAGTTTGTTACCTTTTTCTTTGATACTTTGAACTTTTTGAGTTTTCATTTTATTTTCTTTTATGCATATTTGTGTGTTATCACCCCCGTTGAACTCAATTTGCATTACGGCCCCAACCAACTGTTTGATCTCGTCTGTCTAAGATCAATTCACAACGTGGGTAGGCAGACTGGAGATCAGTGCAGTTACCTTGGTAACCAGGCGTTGGAAGCGAGTTGGGAACGACGAGGCTGATATCAAATCTAACCCGAATCACCAAAAGGTTAGAACGTCACATTTGGGTGCCGCGACCGATACCAAGCCAGTTGGTCGTCACAGGACGAGACAACACGACTGACGCGACAGGCGGACGTCATGTTTGGAGCAGCGACACCCGGACGGAGCAGCGAGGAGCGAACAGCTGGCGCCGCGGCGAAGATGTCACAATTGGTGCTGTTTAGAGACGTCACAACTGGTGTCGTGACCGGGATAGGACCCTGGAACGGCCACGTCACAACTGGCGCCGTGGTAGATCAGGATAGAACGTCACAGTTGGCGCTGCGACCGGGGGACGACGTCACAGATGGTCATACTTTTTTGGTCTTTTTTATATAAATATGTATTGATGGTCATATATTTTCGGTCTTTTTTGTATAAAAATGTGTTGATGGTCATATATTCTGGGGTTTTTTATATAAAAAATGTATTGATGGTCATACTTTTTTGGTCTTTTTTATATAAAAATGTATTGATGGTCATATATTTTCGGTCTTTTTATATAAAAATGTATTGATGGTCATATATTTTAGGTCTTTTTTATATAAAAATGTATTGATGGTCATATATTCTGGGTCTTTTTTATATAAAAATGCATTTATGGTCATATATTTTCGGTCTTTTTTATATAAAAATATATTGATGGTCATATATTCTGGGTTTTTTTATATAAAAAATGTATTGATGGTCATATATTTTTGGTCTTTTTTCTGTAAACAATATATGTATTAACATTAAGAACAAGGACAAGTTCCAAGCACATGGACAGAAAATGGTTGAATATTATGTGTGTGTGTGTTTAAGTGATCGTACGTACGTATATTGTTCTTAGCGTGTTCCCAGAATTTGGGAAACGCTGTATCTGTGAGAGCTCACATCTGCGAGGTGGTATAAGGCTGAAGGCCTGAGGAAAAAAGAGATCGAGGCGAAGGATCACCTAGTGTTTATAGCCAGGGGAGAGAGACCCTGGTGAAATTATTAAGTGCTGAGGAGGAGCTAACTCCGACAATACCTTTACATTCGAGATCCATACAACCGATTTTGGCCAAGCGTAAATAATCGATATTTTTTTATAAATCAATAATCCGATAAAGCCGATCAAAAATCGATATATTTCACTTTTTTCTTCCTCGGTATGTAGTTTACGTACATCATGGCGAGCTTAACGATACCTCATTTTTTTTATTTTTATGCGACTGCGTTTAACGAAAAACCGCGAAAAACGGAAAATCGCTTTCAACTCAAATATTAAAATAAAAAGAAACTCCCTCAATTTTCAAGCAAATGTAGCCAACAATTAGTTGATTGTTTAACAGTCATTCAATCTGATAACTGAGTCGACCCATATAGTGAAAAGCAGCGTAAATATCGAAAAATGTCGATTTTTACGGTTTTCTTTCTTATTTTTCGTTGATCTTTCAACCAGTTTTTATCAAACTTAACAATTGCTTTATAAATGTATCCTTTTTTTTACATCCTTGTTTAATTTAGATAAGTAAACAGCTGACAATATAAGCAATTACCTTTTCTGTCCTCTCTTAAAACACTTTCTATATATTTAAATTTTTATACATTTTTTTAAAATCATTTCACTCCCATCAAAGCGGGTGTGTCACTAGCATGCAGGGGGTCACGGAGAATGAAAGTGAGAGAAAAGACAGGGTATAGAGGGGATTGAGGAAAGGATTTAAAAAAAAATGAACGTTGTTCACGACAACGGAAGATAGCGATTGACGTTGCATTTAAATTGTTGAAGATTGTAGTTATTAACGAAACGAATAAGCTGAAGGGTGTCACACTGTCGGGAAGCGTGGGAAAAGAAACTGTTGGAGTAGAAGGGGTGGTTGCTTTCAACCATTCCAACAGTAAAAGGGTTGCTTGATTTGGATCCCTAATTTGCAGTTCGCATCCTGGGTCGTACCTTTAGCAAACAGCCATATGTTACATCTTTTCGCTTTGCTTTACCGCCTTCTGTAGGAGTTCCCGTGGTTTCCTTTCTCTATCTACTATCATCGCAGTGACATCTGCATTTCTAATGTTAAGATTACGGCGGCTTCCTGGCAAAGAAGTGGGTTGTTCCCTTTCTCAATGGCATTAGTGTGGAATTTAATCTCGTTTTGAGGATTACGTCTTACGTGATACTCAACTTTATGCTATATGTATATTGAGAGGGAGAATATTTACCTACAAGTGTGAAGTGGGCCGTCGGATGAAAGACATAAAAATAATCCTACATCAAGAGAGAGTAGCAGGAGGAGAAGTAGTGTCAGTAGCGTTTACTGAAAATAGTCATTCACGGCTAATGTATATATATATATATATATATATATATATATATATATATATATTAATCTCGGTTAGAGGATTACGTCGTACGTGATACTCAACTACGCTATATTTATATTGAGAGGGAGAATATTTACCTACAAGTTGAACTAGGCCGTTGGACGAAAGACATAAAAATAATCCTACATCAAAAGGAGTAGCAGGAGGAGCAGTAGTGGCAGTAGCTTTTTCTGAAAATTGGATTTTATTCATTGGTATATATATATATATATATATATATATATATATATATATATATATATATATATGTAAGGCCAGGTATATATATATATATATATATATATATATATATATATATACTAGAGACACTGATTTAAAAAGACAAAAGTATGGCGTCCAGTGGATGTGAAATCACGAAAGGGGGGGATATTTACCAACAAGTTTAGACTTGGCCGTCGTGCGAAAGACATAAAAATACTCCTACATAAAGAGGAGTAGCAAGAAACGCAGTAGCAGCAGAAACTTTTGTTGAAACAGCCTTTCACGGTTAAACGCTCTCTTCCCTAGTTTCTATTCTACATTGTTTTCTTTACCAAAAGGTAAACAAATTCCGGTTTTCTATTTTGGTTTACGATAACTCAGTTACAACACAGTGAATGTTAATAATCTCCTCACTGTATATAGATGTTTGTTTAGACATTTCTTAACATGCTATGCATGATATCCATATGAAAGTCTAGATCTATTCCATGCCGTTTCCCAGAGTATTGGTGAAAAAGTGAACGCAACACACTGGATCGGATGTTGATCCCATTTCGCCAGTCTCACTTTCCTCACTGATTAGTTTTACATTACTTACTTCAGTTTTATCTATATCTATAAAAACAGAGAATGTCATTGATACGCCTACATCAAGAGGAGTAGCAGGAGACCCAGTATCAGCAGTATCTTTTGTTGAAAATTTTCATTCACGGTCAAACGTTCTCTTCCCTAGTTTCTGTTCCATATTGTTTCCTTTACCAAAAGGTAATAAATTTGTTGTTAGACAATTCTGTTGCTACTGCTCCTCCTGCTACTCCTCTTGATGTAGGAGAATTTTTGTCTTTCGTCTGACGGCCGAGTCCAAATTCTTAGATTAATATTTTGGCTTTTTCGTTAGAAATTTAAATAACCGGGAAGAAATCCGAATGCGCACTGGGATAGTGAAAGATTCCCGTCAAAACGAAGATACAAAAAATGTCAATAGAAACAAAAAAAAAAATGTTACAGAACGGTTACGTAATACGGTTGTGACTGCTGGACAATCTTGAGGCAACAGAATTATGGCTGTACAGAGGGATGATGAGAATACCATGGGCTGAACCTGAAGTTTGAAGACGCACTAACATGACAAAACGTACATTCCAAATGAGAATAAATGTATTAAGAAACTGAAAAAAATCCGTTAGAAACAAAGAAAAAGGTAGAAAACTGCTGCGTCATATCAGTTTTCTTATATGGCAGTTTGCTGTGAGGGATAATATTTACCTACAAGTTTGGACTCGGCCGTCGGAAGAAACACATAAAATACTCCAACATCAAGAGGAGTATCAGGAGGAGCAGTAGTGGCAGTAGCTTTTTCTGAAAACAGTCATTCACGCTAATATATATATATATATATATATATATATATATAAACAGGATATAAAAGAAAGGGGTATGGCCTCCAGTGGCGGTGAAATCTCAAAAGGGGAGATGTCGTGAGGGAGAATATTTACCTACAAGTTTGAACTAGGCCGTCGGAAGAAAGACATAAAAATACTCCTACATCAAGAGTAGTAGCAGAAGGAGCAGTAGTAGCACTGGCATTTGTTGAAAATTATTAGTCATTCACGGCTAAACAATCTTTTCTCTAGTTTCTATTGCACATAGTTTTCCTGTACTAAAAGTTGATAAACTTGTTGCTAAACCAATTCCGCTTTTTTGCTATAGATTTTGATAACTAAATTTCAACACTGTGCATTCACTGAAATAACACAATTTAAAGAAGAAAAAATTAAATAAGCCCACAGCCCACAAAAGAAACAAAGCAAATGCATCTGGTTGTAAGAATAAACTGATTCTACAACTTGCAAGAATCCTGATTAGTGCATATCCATCTTCTTCCACTTCGTTTTTAGGATTTGCTGGTGGAGGTTCCGTGAGAATGATCTTGTAAACTAGTTGACCGCTTCTTGACCCGAGGATAATATCTGGCCAGTTCAGGGTTGATTGGCACTTGACGACTTTGGATATGTATTCAGCTCCCCTTTACATTCCCGCAGATCTGCTGCCCTGCCTCCTCTCGGTGAATATCTCTGCCTGTGCCAGATTAGTGTATTAGGTTTTGTTTGATCCAATTCGCCCTAATCAAGGAGATGACGCCACTAAGACGCAAGAGGCTACTGGGAATAAAACAGAATAAAAAAATTCCAGAAGTAACCGGAAATTCGATCCTAAACAGGGAACAAAGGACAAACCAATATTCCAGTCCTCACCAAAAAACAATGTTTTGTGCTTTTAAGATAAATTAAAAATTGTTTTGTCTTTTTTTCTCTCCCCCCCCCCAAAAAATATTATCCAGAAAAAATAAATTAGAATTGGTGGCTATTTTATTTTCTATTAATATCTTAAAACTCCATTACCTTTTGCGCATTTATTTAATCCGGGATTCACCTTCATATATATCGTCATATCCTCTTACTTGCTCGGCTTGTACAAGGGTTAAAATTATCCGCACTTTCGCCATGGTACGCCTTTAGGTTTGTCACTGCTTTTTGCGCATGCGTGCTTATAACTGGCACTATTGCGGTCAACTGATCGAAGTTTGAGCTTGATCGCACCAGATTTGTAGCTGCTCTTACAGTGTAAACATGTCCGCTCCGCTATCAGTGTGCACCACGGAGGAACAATGAGCGATGGTCCGATCCTGCTCCTTCTTGTGCGTTACATTTGCCGTAGTGCGCTGTCGTCGTATTGTGTCAAAAGACTCCGATGAATTTCAGACCCTGCCATATTATCAAACCACGGAAATTGGATCACTGCTCTTTGTTCTTCCTTGGTGCACATAATTTTTTTAAGGCTTTAGAATTTGTTAAATATATACTTATATAGGTAAAATTACAGGTAGAATATACCTGTAAAAGGACAATATGAATAAAGACAAGAGGAAAACTTATCTTGCGTTTCGTCAAGACAAATGGAAGTATTTATATACAACAGGAAAAATGCAATTGATTTTTTTAAAAATTAAAATAAAAATCTGTTAAATTCATGACTTCATAAAATATATAACACATTCATGATTCCCCAAATGAAATAATTTATATATTTATTTGCATTAAAATTTTAGAGAAATCAAGAACAGCTTTTACTTACTTTCTTCTATCAAACTTTAAATTGTGTCACTTGGCGTCTTCCATAGCTTGCCTCGACTTTTTAGCAAACCTGATAAATATTTATGAGCGCATTTATATTTAAAAATTGATACAAATAATGTATACGTTAATATGAAAATACAAGTAGAAGAAAGAAAGAAAGAAAGAAAGAAACAGAAAGACAAGCAGAAAGAAAAAAGAAAACGAAAGACAAGCAGAAAGAAAAGAAAGAAAGAAAGAAAGAAAGAAAGATATGTTGGGAGGCACAAATAAGAAGAAAAAAAACAACTCAAAGTGTATTAGATGAAACAAAATGAGAAAACAGTGAATAGAAAGAAGAAGAAAGAAAAAAGAAGATAAAGAAGAAGAAAAGGAAAATAAAAGAAGAGAAAGAAAAAGATAAAGAAGAAGAAGAAAAGAGTGAGATGATGAAAAAATAAGTAGATGAAGAAGAAGGCGAAAAGAAGAAAGATATAGAAGAAGAAAAAGAAGAAAAGAAGAAGAAAGAGGAGATGAGGAAAAATTAGATGAAGAAGACGGAGAAAAGAAGAAAAGGAAGAAGATATACAGAAGAAAAAAGACGTGAAAGAAGAAAAGTAGAAGAAGAAAGAGAAGATGAAGAAGAAAAAGCAGTAGATGGAAAAGAAGATGAAGAAGAAGAAGGAAAAGAGGAAGAAGAAGAAGAAGAAGAAGAAGAAGAAAAGAGAAGAAGAATGAATGAATGAATGAATGAATAAATGAATGATGTAGAAGATGAAAATCACAAATAAAAATATATATTAGAAAAAAGAAACATAAGAAAAAAAATGTCATCCATACGAAAGTCTAAATAAAAGTTATTTATGAACGATTTTTTAGATTAGTCTTTTGGTTGTGTAGAAACTTGCGGTATTGGGCGAAACTATCCCTAACGCAACCAATTCTATGTTTTATTTTTTTTTATCTTCTATACTAAATTTCTTACATCAAGGAGCTTGTGTAATCCAGATCATACTATATAAATTGGACATATACATAGAGGTTTATTTTTATCTTCTCAGTCTGACAGGGACAAAAGAACAGATTACCCTATTCGAATTGACGCAACACAATGTTTGTCTCGATTCCCGTATTCAGGCTTGTAACAGCAGCAATTTTAAGGGAGGAGACACGAAACTTTAGTTACTACAGTAAATAAGAATCTCCAGCTCGAGAGAATAACTGTGAAAAAAATAAAACAAATGCTATCGTCTTCTTGCCCGGCAGCACAAGGACCAAGTGTATAAATGCGTTGGCGATGGCGGGTTAGGCAGTGAAAGTTAATAAAAACAGCCAAATGCAGGATCAGACGAAGTAATTATCTAAGACTGAACTAAAGTCAACCTCGGCAATGTACAAATGGTTAACAAATTACTCTGGGTGACCTATACGAACGAGTCGTGTAACCGAGACTTGTGTTCGTGGCATGCGTAGAAAAAAAGGAGGCTTCATGGAAATTATATAATAGGAACCCTATATATAGAATAAGAATTACTGGGACGCATAATGAGAAAAGAGGGCTTGGAAAATCTAACACTCTTGAAGACTTCCTTAAAACAAACGATAACATCAATCTGCCTAATGTAAATGGATGGCAGCACGAGGATAGATAGTAAATAGATAGACATTGATTAGAGATAAAGAAAAAATTGAATAGGACATTGTGGAGAGCCAAAATCTTTTGTAATGGTATGGAAAAAATATTAAATAAGTTAAAAAAATGAATAAAGATTGAAAAGAGCTAAAAGGATAGTAAGTAATATTCCTTGATTAATGGAATAGCGAATTGTGTTAATTCTCCCAATCATGTGGTGAAACTAAACATTAAGATGCAAATTCGTTGCAAATATGTACAAAGGATATATTTTTTAAAGATATTAGAGTGAGAAATAGGAGTGAATTCATGTGCCCCACATTTGAAATAGAAAAAAAAAAACAAAAAAATAACTGAATGGATGATCCATTGATCTCCCCAAATATATTTCTTGACAGAAGAAAAAATTATCTTAACAACGTGTGGTGTCAGAAAAAACATTAATTTTTGATAAAACGTGTCTGTCCATTTCAGAAAAGGACTATTTATATATAAATTATATTGTGATTTATTCAAAAATAAAATATATATATAATTGTCATGATCTCCAACATCTTATAAATTTGAGGAAAATTTAAATGCAAAAAACGTAATGGATGTCAAAAAACTAGGAAAGATTCTAATTTTGAAAAATTTGATTATTGCTTAAAAAATAGGAATTTTTGTTAAAAGATGACAAAATAAACTTTAAGGTAATGAACAAATTTAACGCAAATAACGTATTTTTTATGGATGTCAGAACAAGGACTAGGAGAGATACTAAGTAGAAAAGCCTTGATTAGAGCTACAAAATAGGAAGATGTAATAGGATTGAATCCAATATCTTAATTGAAAGATCTATTAAGCAAATATTTAATATCTTGTAAATGGATGTTTTGAACAAAAACTAGATACTAAGTAAAAAAACCTTTTTCATTAGAGTAAAAAATAAAGTGTTTCAAATGATTTCCAATTTATTGGTGTCAGATAAATTTTATGAATAGGAAATCTTTGTAACAAATGTCAAAAAAGGAACCTAGACTAACTAAGTAAAAAAAATCTTGATTAGAGCTAAAAAATAGGAAGTTGTGGAGAGCCTTTTCATCTTGTTGACAGAGGGAAACATTAAATAATGCAAATAAAAAAATTTAAATGGATGTCAATAATTAAGGACTAAGAGATAATGTAGAAAAGCCTTTTTGATACAAAAATCAAAATTTGTTAACGATGCCATGATTTTTTGATCTTGTTTGGTACTTCAGATTAAACATTAAGAAAAAAAATTTCATGTGAAATGGATGTCAATAAAGGACTTTAAATATTTATAATGTCAGAATTTGAAAAGCTACAAAAAATAGGAAGTTTCTTTTGAGCCATGATTTCCCAATCTTGTGGTGACAGAGGAAACATTAAGTAATTAATTTAACGTGTTAAATGGATGTCATAATTACTAGGAGATATATAAATAAAAAGCCTTGATTAGAAAAAAAAAATAGGAAGTTGTGGATAATAAAATATTGAAAACAGAGAAAACATTTTAGCAATGCAAATAACATTATAGAATGGATGTCAGAACAAGGACATTTTCTTTTTTTTGTTCCAAAATTGATTAGAACTATAAAAATAGGAAATTTTTTTTTTCTGATCTCCTTGCAGTTTAAAATGAGGAAAATTAAGCTTTTTTAACAAACATTTCAGATGTGGGTTTTAATAATGGCATAAAAACCAGAAAGATAACATTTCTCCTATGCTAACCTCCACCTCCCCCCAAAAAAACAGGAAAATAGATAAAAAAAATTAACTTTGTCAGTCTTGTTCAACAGAAACAAACGCACGGACACTCATAACGCGCCAAAAATTTTTCAATCTTGGACAAAAAATTATGTTCACACACACACATTTTTTTTTTTAAGCATTTTTTAAGCATTTCCCCCAACAAGGCGGGAAGCCACTAGGACGCAAGGGGTTACAGAAAATTTAGAGCAAGATCAGATAGGAGTGATCGAGGAAAGGATGAGGAGAAGAGTAGTGAATAGATCAAGGCAACTGGAGATGTCGATTGACATTACACTTGAATAGCTGGAGATTATAGCTCACAGGGAAACAGGAGAAGGGAAGAGAGTTCCACAGGCGAGAGGTGCGAGACATGAGGCAATTGGAGTAGAAGAGACGACTACATTTAGGAGTTTCGACAATGAAGGGGTGAGAGCGGGATGCCAGCCTCGTAGGGCGCTTGAATTCATGAAGTCTGGGAACCAGCGAATGCAGCTCCTCGGAGCAATTACCATGAAAGCATTTGTAAAAAAAAGACAGAGAGAGGCGACGGCGCGTCTGTGAGAAAGTGACTGTAGACGAGATGCCAAAGCAAGGCTAACCATATTGCATATCCGCCTCTGGAGCCTATCAAGATGTATGTGTATATAATTTAATTAAAAAACAGATAAATTAACTATTTATGAAAAACTGTTATACGCATAAAAAGCAACTCACTGCAAAATCAATTAACGAATGAGCAGAGCAATTTAAAATATAAAATGTTGCAGGAAGCCCCAAAATGTCGATTTCTTTAATTTGGTTTCGCCAACATTCTGGTATCGAATTTCCATAAAAATCATATCTGCATTTCTGAATAATTTTCCTGGTTTTTATTATATACTTATATATAATTATTACGAAAAAATATTTACCAAAGTATAAATAATTTCCTATAAAAATTACTTAAAATAGTAAAAATCCACCCGGTAAATAACCAACCAACCAACACAGAGACACACACAACGCACTCACACACACACACACACACACACACACACACACACAGAAACACATATATAAAGTAACATTAATCAGCTAAGTAACAAAAACTTGTTGACAAATTAATTTGTCTCTCTTCTCTCTTATATATATATATATATATATATATATATATATATATATATATATATATATATATATATATATATATATATATAATTTTTTATTTAAAAATATAATTCCAAAACGTAAAAGTTAAGAGGTCTCATGTTTCAAAACAAGAGCCGAAAACTTCAATATAATTATTTAAATTAAAATGTGTTAAAATAAGCTCTGTTCCTTCTTCAAGCGAAATTTTTGAAATTTACGTGATTTAAAAATTGAAATCAAAATTTCCATGGTAACAGCTAGGGCGAATTGTTTAAGTTGGGTAGGCGGGTGTTGGGTGTTAATAATAAGTATCAGTATAGAGTTACTTTCGTTGATGTCAAGTCAGGGAAAGGTGGGGGTGTCTAAATTTGAAACGGAAGATAAATTTCAGAAATACGTTATTCCAATAAAAATTTCGTTTGAAGATGGAACATAGCTTACTTTAAATCAATTTAATTTAAATAATTATATTGAAAAATTTATATCTTGTTTTGAAACATGAGACCTCTTATGCCGCGAATTGGAATCATATTTTTAAATAAATAATTATATTTATGCTCTACTTTTGTATCGAGCACTATTTTTTAAAAAATAATAACTAAAATAATAAGGAACTTTGGATTATTTACCTAACCAGTTCCTTCCTATTTTCTATATATTTTCACACACACACACACACATATATATATATATACATATATATATATATATATATATATATATATATATGTCGCTTCTAACGTCTTATATGCAAATGTTTATCATTGCTTAGAAATCATCTATTTAAACATTGACAGACTATCATCACTGTCTTGTCCGTATATTGCTTAATATGTTGTATGAATTGAAAATGTAAGCCGAAAGCTTAGATTATATTAAAAAAAATATGGATCAATATTGTTAATTTCTTTCTTCGTTCAACGATAATGTTATTAAACTTATTAGATGTTACGAAAAAAATTTACATAAAATAAATAGACAACACTTGTCTATATTATTTAATGAAACGTGAATATATATATATATATATATATATATATATATATATATATATATATATATATATATATATATATTAGAAGTAATAGATGTTCCAATCAAAATAAAAATGTTTTGTATATTAAAAAAAAGAGAAAAAATTTAAACGTTTTTATTGTAATGAGGATTTTTAATTTTAAATATATATTATGGAAAATAAAGCATAATATAGATTATGTTTGCATAACAAAAGTTTAATATATATACTTTTCTCTCAAATCTGGAACATCTATAAAGTTTCTATATATATATATATATATATATATATATATATATATAT